GAAGGGAAGGGAAGGGAAGGGAAGGGAAGGGAAGGGAAGGGAAGGGAAGGGAAGGGAAGGGAAGGGAAGGGAAGGAAAGGCTACTACTTTTCTTCTGAAGTTAAAAGGAAACCTACCGTTCTCTAAGTTAGTACTATTGGTCATGTTAGCGATTACCAACAAGACAGTACTCGGTAAACTATTGAAATTCCAAGGGCTGCCTGTGTAAGTAATTCTGCGTCTCTTTATGAAGCTCTGTTTCTCACAGAAAAGCACAAGCTTACAGCCCATCTCCTCCAATCGAGATGGTTTGGATCTGAGTTCTTCTTTATTTTGTTAAACTGAATGACATCGTACATTCACTTGCATGAGTCAGTACTCTGAGCTAAGGCGGCAGAGGTTAAGACAGGAGAGAAAGAGCTTTTGACTAAGAAGAATCTAAACAGACATTCAAAACCAGAGATCAGGGAGAGTTCTTAGCAAAACAGGTTTCCAGACAGAAATTGAAGCTCCCATGGTTGCTGCAAAAGATACAATTGGCCCCTTTTGTGTTCTAGCTCTTTCAAACCTCAGATTGACCTATGACCTAGGTCTAGATCTGTAGCAGCCTCTTGGCTTCTGGGACCTAAAGGAAACAACAACAAAAAAGGAAGTCCAGAGCTGGGTGTAGTGGCCTTCACCTGTAACCCCAGCAGTCGGGAGGTTCAGGCAGGGGGATTGCCAATTTAAGACTGTCTAGCCTGGGCTACATAGCAAGCGACTGGAAAGTCTTGGCTGCATAGTGAGGCACTGTCTAGGAGGCCGAAAGGAGGAGCTGAAGTTCACACTCTCTCATCATCTTTGCTTTTGTTTTTTCACTAGTAAATAAAGTATTTTGTTATTTATTTATTTACTATGAGTACACTGTAGCTGTCTTCAGACACACCAGAAGGGGGCATCAGATCTCATTACAGATGGTTGTGAGCCACCATGTGGTTGCTGGGATTTGAACTCAGGACCTCTGGAAGTACAGTCAGTGCTCTTAACCACTGAGCCATCTCTCCAGCCCAAGTATTTTGTTTCATTATAGCATTTTCCAAAGTCATTTGTTTTGGGTTAGGGATGTAGTTCTGAGGTTGGTATGTTCTTTGCCTGGTATGGTGACTCACAACCATCTGTAACTTGCTCCAGTTCTAGACTCTGAGGACAGACCTATGGTGTGTGCGTGTACATGCAGGCAAACTAGCCATACACACACACACACACACACAAATTGTTGCTACTGTTTCCTTTTGAGATTTTAGAGCATTTGGGTCTCTCAGTTTTGGACAAGGGATGTCCAACCCATAATGCCCACAGGAAAGGCTTCTTCTTTTTATTTTTTATTTATTTATTTATTTTCTTCTTCTTATTATTATTATTTTTTTTGGTTTTTCAACACAGGGTTTCTCTGTGTAGCCCTGGCTGTCCTGGAACTCACTCTGTAGACCAGGCTGGCCTTGAACTCAGAAATCCACCTGCCTCTGCCTCCCAAGTGCTGGGATTAAAGGCGTGCGCCACCACCGCCCGGCATAAGACTTCTTTAAAGAACTGTATAGAGAAATTACCATGAATGGGTCTGGTTTAACTCTCAACTTCAAAGCACCAAATCTCAGGAGAGGTAACTTTGCCACTGTCACCTTCCACAGGGAGGTTCCTCAGGAAAGGGGACAACGCTGAACCACAGATCTGACCAAGACATGATTCTGTTCCTAAGCTGCTTCTCCAGTTTCAAACAGCAGGCGAGGACCCGGGAGGCCATCATCAGCTTCATGGAGGAGAAGTTGATTCACTGTAGCAGAAGCCTGGCTTACAACATCACTGTCATTAAACACAAAGACGGCAAAAGGACCCCTCGCTCCCTCACGCTAAAGGTCCAGTCCAGAAAGACTGATGGCATTATTTGGATGAATATTCTCCCGGCTTACGATGCTTTGGGTAAATCCAGTGGTAGTTTGACTTATAAGAAATGATTCTGGAGTCTTCTTCTGGGAGAGGTTAGAGAAAATAGAAACCAATGGAGATTGCTCTGTAGGTAGGTGGGTGGGTCTGGAGCTATACTGTGAAGATGGACGTACTTCCATAACTATCCTTGCATAGGTTCCCACGTCCCAGTGTTGCATGGGGAGGAAGAATCCATTAAAAATAATGAATTCCTGCCCATCCTCTGGAAAACACCAGGTCAGGCAAACATTCCAAGGTCTTTGGGATCAGACGGAACTGTATTAGAATCACCTTTAAAACAAGGCTTTCAAGATGAGTGGTGATGGTGCATGCCTTTAATCCCAGCACTTGGGAGGCAGAGGCAGGTGGATTTCTGAGTTCAAGGCCAGCCTGGTCTACAGAGTGAGTTCCAGGACAGCCAAGGCTACACAGAGAAACCCTGTCTCGGAAAAAAAAAAAACAAATAAGCAAACAAATAAATAAATAAATACAAGGCTATCATATCTTCCTATTTTACAGCTTGTATTCCCCTTGGGAAACAACTTAGCATGTCCAATTTGAGCATGCTGACATATTACATGGGATGTTAAGTCGAGCCATCAGAACTGATAATATTTGCCCACATTTGAGCTACAAAAATGGCTATTTCCCATGGCTGCCTTGAAGTTTACCTCCTTTATGGAGCTGATCCAAGAAGTTCATGAGGCTGAAGGTCTACATTACCATCTGGGCCTCCACTGATTTAGTTTTGGGTGGAGGTGGGTGGGTAAGGAAGGGTTAGGGAAAGATGACGGTGATCCCAGTACTCAGGAAGCTGAGGCAGGCAGACTGCAAGTCTAATGCCTGCCTGGGATCCATCACAGAGAGACCCTGTCAAGGAAGAAAAGAAGGGGCTGGAGAGATGGCTCAGTGGTTAAGAGCACTGACTGTTCTTCCAGAGGTCCTGGGTTCATTACATGGTGGCTCACAACCATCTGTAATGGGATCCATCCAATGTCCTCTTCTGATGTGTCTGAAGACAGTGACAGTATACTCACATATATAAAATAAATATATAAATAAATCTATTTTTTTTTTTTTTTTGGTTTTTCAACACAGGGTTTCTCTGTATAGCCCTGGCTGTCCTGGAACTCACTCTGTAGACCAGGCAGGCCTCGAACTCAGAAATCCACCTGCCTCTGCCTCCCAAGTGCTGAGATTAAAGGCATGCGCCACCACCGCCTGGCTAAATAAATCTTAAAAAAAAAAAAGGAAGGAAGGAAGGAAGGAAGGAAGGAAGGAAGGAAGGAAGGAAGGAAGGAAGG